AAAAAACAAAAAAGTACACAACATATATACACAACAAAAAAATATACAAATCAAATTGAAATGAAAGGAGACAGAAAGAAGAAAAAAATCTTATAGTATCTGCCCCTTTTGTTCTCAATAGAAATAATAACCCACTGCATCTCATTTGAGATGCTGCCCCATCTTTATTTTTCTGTTTGGTTCAGACACCAGCTGATTGGAGACATATGTGTCCACTCAGAGTCCATAGCTGTCAGAACTCTTCTAAACATTGAGCGGTCTCTGGCGGGTGACTGCTTACATAAACACTTGGAAGATTTTATTTTATACTTTTAATGCCTAGAATAAATTATCGCTAGTTTTATGATAGTATTGGCCTCATTAACCTGTGTTTTAATAACAACATCAAGAATAACAGGACTTATTGCCCYATTGGAGCACATTCAACGGAGAACTGGCAAATAAAATGTGTCTAATTTATGAAGTCATTTGGATGGCATTGGATGGATATTGGATTGTGTGGGAATTATGCCCTCATGTCTGTGCGTGTGCAGACTGCAACTTCTCCACTTCATTATAGGGATTCCTTCAGATTTCAACTTCCCTGGCATGAAGTGCATAATTCATGAAATGTGCATAAAAAAATCTTTCATTGGTTATTTTAAATTTTTTATACCCACACAATTATCAGCTTGTTCACAATTAATCTCTACTCAGACCACTGTCTGGATTGTACCAGACCATAGTTTTTAACTAACTGTTTGTGTCCATTGCTACGTTTAGAACAGCGTTCTCTCCAGAAACACAACTGAATTCCACAGGGGTAGCTGACTTTTTCTCGCTGCTCATGCCGTGTATTTCCATCGCTTCACTTGATGGCTCGCAGTGAGAGATTTGCAAGGGCAGGCGGCTGCTCTTGTGGGTTCATAGTAAGTGGTGAGGATTTTCTCTAAGATCATCAGCTCTGTGTTAACGACGTGCAGTTTCCGGAAAGGTTTATCCATTCAATTTGACTCTGGAGAGGAAAATCTCTTCAGCCTGCTGATTAAATTAAGATTTTTTTAATAAGCATATCTAGTTGCTCTGACATGRGAGACAAGCTGATCTGTGTGTAGTCGCCACAATGCTGATATAAAAAACCTGCTTAAAAAGTACCAAAGTTCTTCAGTGTACTGAAATGCCCTCCCGGTTTTTGTCCTTTTACGGTAAATTGAATTGTTTTTGTTTGTTTCTATTTGGCAATTCAATATCTATCACACAAACTCTTAAAAAGATCTTAATTTCAAAACACGTTGACTGCAGCTGTCCTGAGACACAGATTACTAGAATCAATAAGTTTATTATTATCTTTGTGTTTGAAACAATGTTGATTTGATTGGTGCAAATTTTATGTGATTAAGAAAGGAACAATGCACCTATTGTGATATTTGGAAAAATACAATTATTGCACATTAAGTTTGAATGAAGGTAATCACAGGTGAGAAGAAAGCCGAGACTGGTGTGTGGAAGCAGGACGTGAGTCAGCAGCTGTGAGACTGAGTGGAGGCCACGAACCGTGGGAGAAATTTTGCTACTTTCCAGAAGTGGATGTGTGTCAAAGGTTACCTCATGGGAAAAGAAGAAAGGGTAGAGAAATAGCAAAAAGAGGGTTTCTAAAGAAAGGTAGCCAGCAGTAGTTTGGTGTGTTTTTGTGCCCCTCGAGGAGTAAACAACCCTTTAAATTGGTGCAACAGCTTTGATTCAGCATCGTTTTCATGACACAAAAACAAAGGCTATTGTTCAAATAGCAACACACGAATTAGAGCACGTTCTTTAGAAATCAGATTTTTAATTTTTTTCTCGTTATGTTTTGAAATACTCACCGTAAAAAKGACTGCACTGATGTGAGTGCTAAGGCTTATGCTGTTTTATTTCCCATGAGCCAAGAGTTAATGGGTTTGAACAATTTGTCATATAGGTTTTTATGGATTTACTGGAGCAACATACCAAATCAGTTTCTTTTGCTACTCTGTTGTGCTAATAAAAATAAAAAGACTTTTCCAATTATTTTGTATCTTACAATATGCTGTTTTGTTCATTAGTCTTAAATAAACCCCTTTCTTTTAAATAATAAAAATATATCATGTCAAGAGGGCTTTTTGTCATATTTTTATGACAGATGGACTTTTTATGAAAATGTTGTTTTCTTTTTTTCTTTATTTACATTTTAATTAAAATTACTCATTTGAAACATAAGTTCTTCCCACATGATCAAAACATATACTTCACTCTCTCTAACTGGTTTGTATAAGAGCACAAACGTGTGTCCATGTCTTCAACGAAGAAAAAAAAACAAGACATGTTGGTGCAACAGCAGGATGCAGCCRATCTGGTGGCATCAACACTTTTTTCTCCATTTATTTTGTAATTTATAACATTCCCTGATTTATGAAGGTCATCTAATGGGTGTTGAAAAGTTATGGGACTTTTAACACTAACGTACACTAACGTTTGTGCTCTTTACCAAGCGCAAGTTYCTGATTATTGATGCGGTTTATTCCTTAGGAACATACTACCTGCAATAGCTCTGAAACCCTAAGTTTGAAAAAGAAATTCACAGAGAGTCTACGTTTTTGAAGACTTGAATCGACTCTTGAGATTTAAATTTTAAAAAAAGACAGTGAAGAGATGAGTATGATGTTAAATCTGTATTTTCTTCCCCCCACAGGATCACTTTTACTTTTTTTTATAATTTTTTTGCAGCAATTTCCACAGTTTGCACTTTATTTCTCAAAATTTAAAACAAATRGCTGTCAAATGTTTTGACAAACGTTCCACAGCAAAATCTGATGAATGAATCCAGAAATAATTTTGAGGCAATCCGATGTGGCTCATGCACAATTATCCACATGCATCGTATCAAATGAATATGAGGTTTTAATTTGAAAAAAGAAAAGAAAAGAAAAAAAAGGCAACATTATTTCAAATCAAGGAGCATACTTCTAAAGTTTCAATGTCATTTGGTACACATTTCACAATAAGTATTTGTTTGWTTGTTTACTGATGGTGAAACTGTGCAAGGTCACTAAAAATGAACTCTWTTTCCCTATGAGTAACTCTCACTTAAGTGTTGTTTGCTGAGCCATTTCAGCCCCATGTGGGAGAGTGCATGTTGACTTATCCCTGTGTAATTGGACAATCATAACTGATGGTATTTTCTGAAAAGAAAATAAAGCTCAATCAATTCTACCTCTAAAGGTAACTTGTGTAACCACTGTGTACAAGTACTTTTTTACCTTGATGGGTAAAAAAAACAAGAATAACAAAACTTAAATGATTCACATTGAAGCAATTTTATGAYATTWATACCTTTTTGTTTTCACATCTTTTCCTTCCAGGATATTTGACAGTTACCATAGAGCCCCTGCCTCCTGTTGTTGTGGGTGAGACCGTTACCCTCAAGTGTAACTTCAAAACTGATGGAAGACTGCGAGAGATTGTTTGGTACAGGGTGAGTAAAGCCGCCTACGCTTTCAAAGCCATTAGGCATTAGATGCTTTCTAGGTCATCCATATCTGTTATTTGTAGCCATTAAGTCAACACCAGTAGCTATATCACGTGTTCGTGTTCGTGGTCGTGTGTATCAGAACAGCCTTCRCTGTTAAACTGCACTGTTTAGAAGACAAGCTGTTATTTGAGTCAGCTGTGGGGGAGGCTCCGCAGGAAGTGGCTCGGGAGTTTGCTTTACAATCTGATGGTCATCACCGTTAKTTCTTAAATGTTCACAGCTGGTAATTCAGCACACTTTTAAATCCCATTTGCCCAAGTAATGTTAATAGTAAGGTTGGTGTTGGAAGTGTTAAAGTAAGGACAGAGTGAGGAAAATATATACAGTATCTAAAATGAAGTTTGTTTTGTTAATCAAGCACGTTTTAAGTTCTGTACTAACGCAAACAGTTCTGAAATATTTGGCAGATATTACAGTTCAGTGAAAGGACGTTTGTTTGACTTCGAGAGAGTCACTGATAAGCACTTGAATTGGAAAGCAGAGGCAGCTGCGACTGCCCGTTTTTGCACAACGATTTGTTTGTGCCAAMAACTCTCCAATCATTCTTGAGAGCTTTACAGATTTGTGTCCGACTTTTTGCATTAGTGAAGTCGCTGAATGGTGATTGGTGATTGTAGGAGGCTACAGACAAATTGTAGACACTGGAATGCTATCAACATAGGCTAAGTGTCTTTTGGGCAATGCACACTTGGTTTGTATTGTGTCCTTGTTGTCTGAGGAACACAAGTRACTGATGAGCTTCCAAATAAACAAGTGCTCAGACAAAAACAAGACAAATGTATTGCAAAGGTGACATTGGTGCCTCTCAAATTCCTGAATGTGTTCTACTTTCAATGAGGTTTRTTTGTGTGCCTCTGACTTCCATAACAATAAATGCTTCTGTAAAAYACACATTATTTACTTTATAAGTGAGGCTGGGTCAACACATTTTAAATAAGAATTTTGAACGCAATGTACTTTTCAGTTCAGGTGTTAAATGCATTTGTTGGTTCATTTGGCAGAGTTCTAATATTTGCATTGACTCGAAAATGCATATATGACACAAACAACACTCTACTCATAATGTAATAAGTACTTACTTATAGCGTAATCAGAGGTTTATTGTAACTAAGTACATTTAAGTAAAATAAAGTCAGTAAAGTAAAGTTTTATTTATATAGCGCCTTTCACAGAAATAAATTCACAAGGTGCTGTACACTCAGGGAAGGGGAGAGGGGGCAGTTAAGAAACACCCATTCAAGAAGACATACAAGACRAACATGGGGGAACAGGTGAAACATGTCATACAGCAAACACAGTTGCACTACCTTTAACAAAAGAAAAACTAAAAACCACACAAGGGAAGATGAGGAAAAAACATCATATTATATAAACAATGTGACACACTATGGTGTTTATAAAAAATTTAAAAAAACCTCTGCATAGAGCACATTTATTAGCCATTTACTTTGTTACAGTACTTGAGTATTTTTTGGGGGGGATTTGTAATCTTACCAATATTTTAACGGCTACTTTTATTTAATTTTGTTACATTTTAAAGATAAATATGATGCTTTCACTTCTTTGCTTTAAATTTTAACACCTGGTATATGTTCAGATTCATCATAAACAAAGTTGTGTTGAAGTTACAGTCATATCAGCTGGCTCCACTAAGCCTAGTTGAGTAAACTGAGCAAAGGAAATACTATATATTGCTCAATTTACTGAACATGGTTTAGTGGAACCAGTTTGGTTCAGTAAATTCAACAGTTTATTTTTTAGAGAAAAAAAAACACTTTTACTTTTACTTTCCCAATTTTTGTGAACAGTTTTATGACTTTTACTCGAGTAGTTTTATTTCATTTTTACCAAAGTAACCTTCTGCTCATATAATTTTACTTTTATTTAGTTATTTTTTTCAAGTTCTTTATAGACCTCTGAGTGTAATGTAACTGTGACACACTGTGGATTCCAATGAGTTTCGACTAAAACCTATCTGAAGGGATCATTCACATTTTATGATTCTGAAACTGATTTATTTTTTGCATTGCTCAACTCTTCAGTCAGTAATGATACATAATGTTTTGACATCATTAGAGACTAATTTTGGATTTTACATATTAAAAGTTGTAAATTGTAATTCATCATTACAAATGTAGCACACAAGACTGGCGTGACATTCACTCTCTAGCTTCAGTGGAAACGGCCATTTAATGAGTAGTATTTATTGCTTGACTAGGACCTTTTTCGTGGACTTCTTCAGACTCCTCTGCTTCCTCACTTTTATTGTTGAGATGTAAAATAGTGTATTTGGACTTATCTTTGCAAATGCTGACCTTTCAAAGTAGGACATGAGAAGATTTATGGCACTTTGCACATTCACCTTAACACCATAGATCACTTTCACAGCTCTGACAATTTCATTTAATCAAGCTGGGTTTGTGTTATGGYGCTTTGTTTTGCTTATATTTTGTCAGATGTCTGCAGTATTCATGGGAACTTGAAATAACCGYTTTAAGAAGTGAGCAGCCTGTATTAAGTATTCTCATGGGGGATGTAAAGAGGTTGGAGGAGCGATTTGCCCCATGTCCCAGGTGGCCCCTGCTCACCACAACTGCTGATGAATTATAAATCAATTWCCCACACTTGGCTGCCAAAGTTTCTTTGATCTCTGCCTTTTATTTGACTAAATGCTGTTGACTCCTGATTTTATCTCTTGTTCAAACAGACGTGGGGGTGATACTCACCTGGGGAGTCCTCTGTCTGATCGAAGTTTGATCAATTATACAAAGGGCTTAAAAACTTTAAAAAATGATTAGCAAATGCTCATTTGTGGTGCAAGTCTGTGATTTTGTCTGTTGTAATTTATTTATTTCATTTTTACATGGCAGTATATGTATAAAGCAATATGCTAAGGAAGTACTTTAAAGAAAAACTACTTAAGAGAACATTTGTGAGCAAATCAGCTATTTTATTCTAAATAGAAAACATGTTAAAACAATGGAAATATGTTATTACACAAATTATTTCTTCTGTTCATTTAGTTTAACTGATAGTGCAAGCTTTTCCGGTGCTTGTTAGCATAATTTGGCTTCACACTTTTAAATCAAATTATGTGTCAGAGAGTGGTTTTAGTTTTAGTGTGTTATTAGTTTTGCTCCCTCAGTGGCGGGGAACTTAAAGACTACAGTATATTACTATTTATGTGTATGATGATTAAAAGAAGCCATTTAATATTGTACATATTGGTAAAGAAGGGAAAACCTCACAGCCCTTAAGGCCCTGCATGTTGTGCCAACTAGTGACATGCTTGTAAACTGCAGCCAACTTCCTGTGTGAAAAATAAAACAAAATGTTTTTGATGCGTATTTTAATGCACCATTTTGGGCAACTTTTAAAGGGGTAATATCATGTAAAGTCAACTTTTTTGAGTTTTATATCATGTTATAATGTTGTATTCTCATAAAAAACATGCCCAAAGCCTTGTTTTGACTCATTCATGCATGTTTGAGAAATCCTGCAGCGTTTTTAGGAAGCCATGCTGAGGAGCAAAACGACAGGTGGGGACCAGAAATGGCTTTTGGGACCAGAAACACCCCGGGACGTGTCTTTAAAGGGATCCACGATTAGTTGTAACGTTAAACTTTATTTGATAAACATAAATTTAACTGTAAAATAAAGACTGTAAAATTACTGTAGGT